AGTTCTTGCGTAGTCACCATTCCCAATGGCTTCAAAGTAGTTGGCTGAAAGCTGCCCCATCTATAGCCGGCTTTAGAGTCGTCGGCGGGCCCGCTGTTGCGTTTCGTAACAGGCGCTTGGCGTAGCTTGATATGGCGCGGCCAGGAACTGGTATACCAGGACATCTTTCTCCCCATTACGGAGCGCGTTCTCCTGTACACGGCAGCTTCCCGAACGCCATCAGCGAATCTCTTTGTACTGGTACTCGCGGGCCCGGAGGAGCTGTTAGTCTTCAGAGCTCATACAACTCAAAGGGAATGTGTAATATTCTGCACTTTCAGCTCCAACGCCGCACGCCTCTTCGCTGGAAGTCTTTGCTCTCTCCGCCAGATAATTAGGGTCTTTCATGTACTAACCTAAATCCGGGGAACCCTTCACCGCTGGCGTGGGGGCTGCCGGTAGAGCGCTGATAATTACCTTCTCCCTGACTTTGCCTTCTATCATATCGACCAGAAAAAAAGCCATTAGAGACTACGCGTTTCGGGGTCAGGGCTTGATTGGTAATGGATGATATGGGGTGTCAAAGGGAACCTGTCACAACCAATGTGGACATAGCTGAGGCTACAATCTAAAGGTTAAGGCTACCATTGGCCAGAAGGGAAGTCGTGCTAGTTTGGGGTGGAATGCATCAGGCATGCACACTACCCCGGACCTAGCAGCACTTGGCAAATAGAGTCAGGGGTGGGCAACTTCGGCACTCCAGCTGTTGTGTTACTACTAGTCACACGAGGCATTGCAAGACTGACAGCCACAGGCATCACTCGCAGAGGCATAATGGGATTTGTAGTTTCAGCACAGCTGGAGGACCAAGGTTGCCTGTTTCTGATATGGACGCTGCTGCATGGGAGCCTTGGCTATACAGGTAGGGACTGTCCTGACAGCTCATCTTCTGTCACAGAGCATGCTCGCGGTGCTCCTGGGACACGTCATGTACATTATATTATTTCTGATCACATGACTTCACACGTTCAGCTCTCCTTACGTTGGCTTTGAGTGATCATTTGAGCTCACGCTGCGCTCTCATTACATTGGCTCTAAGTGATCATTTGAATGATCACGTGACTTCACACTGACGCCTCCGTTGGCCCTGAATGATCACATGACTTCACACTGTGCACTTACTATGTTTGTTTTGAATGATCACATGACTTCACACTGTGCACTTACTATGTTTGTTTTGAATGATCACATGACTTCACACTGTGCACTTACTATGTTTGTTTTGAATGATCACATGACTTCACACTGTGCTCTTACTACGTTGGGCCTGAATGATCACATGGCTTCACACGGTCAGCTCTCCCTACGTTGGCTATGAATGACCACTGCTTATTACATTGGCTCTGATTGATCACATGACTTCACACTGACAGCTCCGTTGGCCCTGAATGATCACATGACTTCACACTGACAGCTCCGTTGGCCCTGAATGATCACATGACTTTACACTGTGCACTTACTACGTTGGGCCTGAATGATCACATGACTTCACACTGTGCTCTTACTATGTTGGCTTTGAATGATCACATGACTTTACAATGTCAGCTCTCATTACATTTGCTGTCAATGATCACATGACCCGACCCAATGCTACTTTCACAGCGTTGGCTTATATGGTCTCACCGCCGTGCCAGTACTCACTGCACCGGCTCTAAGTGACCCCGTGACATCATCACCTCGCCCGCTTTCCCCGCTTACAATCTCTCCAACTATATTTACCAAGTGGGTCTCTAAGTAGATTTTAATTGGCTGATCCGATCATATTTCTCTGGAGAGTCCGACGTTCACTCTCCTCCATGGAGTCTAATGGGACTATTAATTGCCGGTCCCGGGAGACGACTCTTCCTCCATACAGAGCGCCAGGAAACGTTCACATTACTGGTGGTGGGAGAACGGACCGCGGTGCCATCAATCTCCGAAAATTGCGCCGGATTTGGGATTTTTCCACGTCTCCCTCTCATTTCCAACTTCCTGTCTTAGAGCTGACCTCTGACCTTCCCTTCAGTCTTGCACAGTTGTACCGGCTCCTCTCCTGGACTGAAATGGCTTCCTCTGATGTCACTGCACACTGCAAGCTCCTCCCTCTGCGCCTGCGTGAGCTCTGCACACAGCCAATGTACTAGAAGGAGAGGGGACACGCACATGATTTTTGAGGGTGTTTGCAAATGCCTTTCACACCTTCTCCCCTAATGTCCGTCGGTTGTTTTGAGTTGTCTGGCGCTATGGAAACGCACCGCTTTGCTGTCGGCGGGTTTTAAATTTTTTCGGGACGTGTTTGCGGAGTCTCTCGAGGAGTTAAATCCTCTTCGCATGCCGTCATGCTTTAAGCACCGGCTGCGTGTGCCGGGTGACCTGATTCTCTCCGTCGCTCGCTTCTCCGCCATGTACAATGCAAAGCGCGGCGCGCATATTGTGTCTGTAATGAGGTTTTGTCGTGCCTGAGAACACGGCGACAAGACGCCAGCCTCAGGAACGGCACACGTGCAGCCTAAAAATATCATTCAATTGTGCTGCAGAAAACGTGTTGGTGGAGCGCTGGGCCTCGAGGTCCAAACTCCGAAGGGGCAGATCTCTGTACATGGGGGGTCCCCAGAACACTGTGTGGGATGAGAGGGCCAGGAAACTAGTACAAGTTCAGGATGGATGAAAACAGAAAAAAGGCCCAACGCGTTTCAAGGGCTTAAAGAAGGCCTCCGGGAGGTTGAAAAAAATTATCCAACCCGTTTTGTCTCGGGGGTTATAATAAAGAGGATATACTCACCTGATTCCTGGCTGCTTGACCGGTCCCCTCAGCCTCCCCTCCGGGCTTTGGCTGTTTAAGGGCCACTGACACCATCACATCTTATGCAGATCCATTGACTTGCATTAGATGTGAGGATGCCGAGCGACATTCCATAGCCGGAGGGGAGAGGTGAGTGCTGACTGCCACGGGACCGAGGATCCGATGAGTATATTGTCTTTAAGCCCCCCAGACTTTCTCAACCTTGATGTGAAAGGGGGGCTTCTAATTTATAGGGGGGCTGTGATGTGAAAGGGGGGCTTCTAATTTATAGGGGTGCTGTTATGTGAAAGGGGGCTTCTAATTTATAGGGGTGCTGTTATGTGAATGGGAGTGACTCAGGTGTGGAGATTTTTTTAAACTACCTGTCCAAGGGACTATAGCGGGTATTGTCGTAATACCAATTTTTTTTTTTACCAAAACCATGACTTAATTGTGCTAAGAAGCGCTTCTCATTGGTCAGCGCAGTCACCTCGCAATTTGTGAGCGAACTTCCAAATCCATAGTGCAGGGCTGTGATGGATCGCAGTACGGGTAAGGATAGTACACCTGTACCAATGGAGGGGAAGGACCATTCACCGAAAGGTTAGTATAGCAGGGGGAGGGGGCCAGAGGGCCAGATTTGAGCGGGTAATTCCATTTTCCCAAATTTCCTGGTATTCACAAATGTCTGACACAGTTAAGCCTCTGCTGCCTGCTACATTGTTACAATGTAAGGTCTGAATGATCACTGGGGGAGGGGAGACTGAGGAAATTCCTCTTGCTGTCTGCAGCAGACTGATGACATCATCGTGGCCCCGGGCAAAATCAGAGTATTCTGAATAATAAGCTGGCCGGACACCGTGCCCTGAATTGCTCCTTGTTAGCTGATGACACAGATACGAAAAAAAAAAATCAGTTGAATCCTTTTGCAGAATTTCCATATTTGAGAAATAATTTGATCACATGACAAATGTCCTCGTCTCATCTCTTCTCTCTTCCAGCGTCTGGATCGCTGCATGGCTCTGGTGACCTCCATGACGAATGGCGTGTCTGAGAGAGAGGCCAATGACGCGCTGAACGCATACGTAAGTACAGATCGGAGCAATTATTGAACGCCGCCACCGTTCACCTGTCACTGAGCTACATGACCACCTCCACCTGAAAGCAGAATCGGAGGGGCTGCTGAGTTCGGTTACATGCTGGCTTGTTATAGATGTTGTGGTGGTCAGTGTTGAGATCTCCCCACCAGTATTCACAGTTGTGCTGACCTGCCACAGCCATTCCAAAGCCAGATCCTTGTCCTGCAATGGATTCTGTGGTATGGCAATGAAACGGAAACTGCAGCAAGTCAGATAGAGCCCGCCTCTGTCCTGGCTGGAGGACTTCCAGCATCATCTAGCCGGACTTCCCTGGCCCCGCCCCTTTCATTCATGAAGGCTAACATATGGACATTGCCATGTAAATGCAACCTGCCTAGGAGAGCCGACTGCCCCGGACTGACACGCTTGCGTCAGGGCTCTTCAGGGGGGGGACTGAGGCAGGGTGGTGTGATGTTTTCAGGAAGCTATGTACAGCCCCCTGCCGTCCCCTCCATGTTATAGAGCAGCACAGAGACCCAGTGATGACATCACCGTGATGGTTTTATTTAAAACTGTCATTAGCATGTTGATGAGGTGGGGAGGGGGCAGGGAAGACACGAAATCTAATCCGATTACTCTCCAAGCCAAGTCCTGGTCATGCTCCAGGCCTGACGTAGCCTCAGTTCAGATTTGCAGGGTGTGTCCCGACACGAGCCGCCCGCTTCCAGGAAAGAAGAAGCGCAATGTAAGAGGAATGTCCTGACTTGGACAAGCTGGGATTGGAAGCCAAATGGGTCCGGGCTGGGGTCTCTCTGAAAGCGAGAAGTCCCATAAACATGTGACTGATTCTTTATAAATAGAACCTGTCTCCAGAACATACATTGCATAATGGAGTAATGAGCCGATGGGGTGCATACCTCTGCACAGCGGAGAGTACATATGAGCCGCTCCCATCACCCCGGCCCTATGCCAGACATCCTAGTGACCAATTGAAAGGAAATCTGAACCCAAAAACGACAATATCACCCAGTATATCGCAGCCCTTAGATGTGGTGGCTGCATTAGTTTTCCTTTTCCCCTGCCAGTAACACACTTCCTGTCCTAGAGTGACAACAGTCACGGTGTATTGAATTTATGGAGGAGGAGTGTTGTCACTCGAGGACAGGACTACGGAGCTCCCTGTTCCCAATCTTCATAACATAATGGAGCTTTGCTTTGTAGTTCACAGAAGAGAACTGGGAAAGCTGATTTCAGCTCATAGGAAGTGACGTGGACTCTGGATTTCTGGCAGGATCAGTGGGTATTTCCTGTATTTGCTGAAAATGTTCTTACTAGGGATGCACCGATACCGAGTATTTGGGCGAGTACTCGTACTCACCCAAATGCTCCGATACCTTCCTTGATACCGGAACTTCCAGTCAGAGGAAGATTTCCTCTAACCGGCAGTGCTGTAGGGGAACTTGGAGCCAGCTTCCTGTGCAATCAGGTTCAATCAGGAAGCACGGAGGCAGGTCATTACTCGGCGCCCGGCTTCCTGATTGGCTGGAAAGCCATTTTCCTGGCTAATCACATTCAAGCCAGCCAAACAACGTGTAGCCACCTTCCCTGACAATCAGGAAGCCGGGCGGCGGGTAATGACATGCCTTCCAGCTTCCTGATTGCCCAGGAAGCCGGCTCCATGTCAGCGGAAGCACCGCTATCAGTACCCGTACTCGATACTGAAAAACTAGTATCGGTGCATCCCTAGTTCTTACTAAACGAATGCAACCACCACATCTAAGGGCCGGTCATCTGCAATCTGACGTTTTGTTCTTGAGTTGAGATATACTTTGTTGTAACTTTATTGATAACTGACATCCACAGTAGCGTTACGGCATAGCGGCCATCTTGCGCCACCCGAGTCTCTCGGCTGCTATCTCCGGCCTGCAGAAAAGGGTCAGCAAGGCCTGATGGTCACAGCTGATGCTTGGAGAGATACGCGGGCCCTAGTTGCTGCGGGGGCCACTCTTCCTACTACTATTTATATGAGAACTCCGCTTGGTTCCTTATCTCCTCCGATCTGCTGTTTTTTCTGGAATACATATAATGACATTAAAATAGGAACGGCGGGAAGGGGAGGCGCTGCGTGCAGACGCTTTGACTAAATTAAGATTTGATCCGGAGGGTTAAAAAAAGTACAAACTGGGACAGTGACGCGGGTGTAAATCCGCCGCTTTCCTTGCCTGCGTCAATTCTGCGAATGTAATCTGAGTGCGGGGGCGCTCTACCACTGACTGACCAAAGTTATTTCCAGCATCCGAACACCCCAGTCATGCACAGTACACGACCCTGGAATGAGTAGTCCCTGCCTTTATACCTGAATAGCTGCAAAGGGTATAAATCCACTTTGTGTGCACTAAAACCCAGTTATTACCTTGTAAAAGTAGCAGTGACAGCATCACTTTGCTGTGCAGAGGGGCATTCTTACCACTGAGCACCAATGTAAGGGACATTCTTCCCACTGACCACCACTGTTATGGGGCACTTGTTCACTGACCACCAATCTAAGGGGCCCTCCTCCACTGACCAGCAATCTTATGGGACCCTTGTTCACTGACCTCCAATCTAAGGGGCCCTCCTCCACTGACCAGCAATCTTATGGGACCCTTGTTCACTGACCTCCACTCTAGGGCCCTCCTCCACTGACCAGCAATCTAAGGGGCCCTCCTCTACAGGCCGGTAATGTTATGGGACCCTTGTTCACTGACCTCCACTCTAGGGCCCTCCTCCACTGACCACCAATCTAAGGGGCTCTCCTCCACTGACCAGCAATGTTATGGGACCCTTGTTCACTGACCTCCAATCTAAGGGGCTCTTCTCCACTGACCAGCAATGTTATGGGACCCTTGTTCACTGACCTCCAATCTAAGGGGCCCTCCTCCACTGACCAGCATTGTAATGGGGCCCTTGTTCACTGACCTCCAATCTAAGGGGCCCTCCTCCACTGACCAGCATTGTAATGGGGCCCTTGTTCACTGACCTCCAATCGCAGAGTTCAGCTTTCACTGTCAGGAATAAATTGGACAAAAGCACTTTAATATCAGTTCTGATTTATATATTTGATCTTTTTGTTGTTTTAGGTTTGCAAAGGACCCACCCAGCACGAGGAAGTGTGCCTGGGACTGTACGCGATGGTGCTGTCTGACCCGGCACAGGCCCAGAAGGTGAGTCCTGCCATATTCAAGACATCTAGTGCTTGAAGTATCTGTGAGGTCAGAGGACATGAAATCCGCCATTGTAAACATTCTTATCACAAGGTAAAGCGGATGTACGAGGCTGGGGAATTGTGTGCGTGCGTTTCTTCCATATCACAGGTGCCCTTTAAATAGGAGGCACCCGATTGGTTCAGGAAGATCCCCGCGGCCAGTACAAGGACGGTCTCGCTTCATGGGAACGCTCTCTGTGTGCACGCTGTTTTTATAGAAGGGCGCTCGCTCCCTATGTGTCATTGGCTGCCCATTCTGCAGTCTTATTTGTTCTAACATTCCGAGGTTGGCGGGCAGGGGAGGCGTCCTCCGATATTTCGGGAAACTTTAAGCAAACACATTCACCCTGGGAGAGGGCGCGACCTCTGGCTCGCCCTTTGTTTTCACACCGAGCTGTTGGCATTTCTCTGGGATAATTACAATGGGAGCTCGCAGCCGGGCGGTCCGGCAATAAAGAAAATCCCGGCTGAAGGAGAAACGAAAAAAATCAAAGTTCTGCAGGAACACGAGGCGAGGCAGATCTGTTGCTGTCGTTGTTGGGATCACATGTACTGTAAAGTGGCACAATAGGCCTTACGAAAATTGCATCCGTGTTTTTAACTTCCTTTACATCGGTGACAACTCTTCTGCATCCTTTCTGGATACGACGTTGTCACTGTTTGCATCTGCCAAGCTATCTGGAACTGCAGCGTTGCGCCGGGGCGTAATGTGGTCATGTGGTGTACTTCTGTAGGGATGCACAGCCTCACTTAGTCCTGCTAGCATAGGTAGATCCTGCAAATCCCGCCCAGCACAGGCAGATCCCACCCAGTTCTGCCTAATCCCGCCCAGCACAATCAGATCCCGCCCAGCCCTGCCTAATCCCGCCCAGCACAGTCAGATCCCTCCCAGTTCTGCCTAATCCCGCCCAGCACAATCATCCCGCCAAGCTCTGCCTAATCCCGCCCCATCAGATCCCGCCCAGCCCCACCTAATCTTGCCCAATCCCACTTAATCCTGCCCAGCACAGTCAGATCCCACCCAACCCCACCTAATCCCGCCCAGCACAGTCAGATCCCACCCAACTCCACCTAATCCCGTCCAACACAGGCAGATCCCGCCCAGGCCTGCCTAATCTCGCTCAGCACAGGTTGATCTCACCTAATACCACCCAGTACCACCTGATCCCGCCCAGCACAGGCAGATCTTGCCCAACCCCTCCTAATCCCGCTCAGCACCGCGTAATCCCACCCAGAGCACAGATCCCGCTCAGCACCGCGTAATCCCACCCAGAGCACAGATCCCGCTCAGCACCGCGTAATCCCACCCAGAGCTCAGATCCCGCTCAGCACCGCGTAATCCCACCCAGAGCACAGATCCCGCTCAGCACCGCGTAATCCCACCCAGAGCTCAGATCCCGCTCAGCACTGCGTAATCCCACCCAGAACTCAGATCCCGCCCAGTATACTGGGAGTTGTAGTGTGCAGAGCTACTCTGACGTCAGCCTGTGAAGTCACCGGCTGACTATGGGACCACAAACAAGCCTTAGGTCGGTGCAGTGTCCTGTATGTCCCTGAAACGCGTAAAGGACGCAGTCTGACCACGTTAGCATGGATCTGCTTCCATGCCTAGTGTGGTCCGTGTCTAACAGGATGCCCTTCAGTGCGTGAGGGATTGGCAGGATCAGCAGTGCTATACATAAAAGTATGTGAAATGTTAAACTACGAGGGGCGGAGGGGTACAGCCCCAGCATTTAAATTTGAACTTTTACATCCGCTTTACTATCGCTCCGTCTCTTAGTGTGCGCACACCTGACAGTTACTGCCACAATGCAGCCACACCGGGCTGAATTATGAGGAAAGATGGACGCATTTGTAGAACTGATGTGACGCTGTTAGTTAAAAGTAAAGTTCCCCCTTCTAGCTGCAGAATCCACGTGTGCGTCCCACGCTCGTTTCATCTTTACATTTCTCTTTGGGGTTTAAACCGTCAGACCGGCTTTATTATAAATAATGATTAGCCCGACGGAGCCAGAAAGCAGCTGCCGGCTTCATCTGAGTGGAGGGAGATTGTTTCAAGTAGCTAATTACTTCCTTCAGACGGTGGAAGCGGCTGACTAGTGATTGAACCCCGCTCCCCCGCGCCACTAATGAAGCGTTAATTATGGCGGGGCTCTCTGCCCCCCCAAGGTAGTCCGCTCTCCGGGGACTGGAACCGATCTTTGGGATGTGTGCTATGGAAGATGTGTTGGTACAGGCTGCAATTAGAAGTCGCCTTCAGTGGCGGGTGAAAAATATGCGTCATTTAGGTGAGTGTTTGTCGCCGTTGGAGGAACACAGGAGGCTCCTTCCACTCCGACGGATATCGGATTAATTGGTCAACTCAACAAATTAAAGGATCAGGTTTAAGTGGAGGTCACAAGGTGTCTTGGTTGGATCGGATAGAAAAAGTAAATACCATCGGCTTTAACTTCTCTTAAAATCCATCAGGAAATAAAACACCCCCCCCCCCCCCTTCCCGGGGAGGGACACTGTTACCAATTTTGTTCCATAGAGGGGAAACAAATTATCCTTCCTGATCCCTCATAGACCATCATATCCACATTCCCTGGATCAGAATATTCTTGTGTTAGTAGAATAGTGGGCCCCCAGGGAAGAATAGCCCCCAGATCATTGGTGTTAGTGAGATAGTGGCCCCAGGGAAGAATAGCCCCAGATCATTGGTGTCAGTGAGATAGTGGCCCTCAGGGAAGAATAGCCCCCAGATCATTGGTGTCAGTGAGATAGTGGCCATCAGGGAAGAATAGCCCCCAGATCCTTGGTGTCAGTGAGATAGTGGCCCTCAGGGAAGAATAGCCCCCAGATCATTGGTGTCAGTGGGATAGTGGTCCTCAGGGAAGAATAGCCCCCAGATCATTGGTGTCAGTGAAATAGTGGCCCTCAGGGAAGAATAGCCCCCAGATCATTGGTGTCAGTGAGATAGTGGCCCCAGGGAAGAATAGCCCCCAGATCATTGGTGTTGATGGGATTGTGGGCCCCAGAGGGAGAATAGCCCCCAAATGGTGTCAATGGGATTGTGGACCCCAGGGAAGAATGGCCCCCAAAATATTGGTGTCAGAGGGATTGTGGACCCCAGGGTAGAATAGCCCCCAAAATATTGGTGTCAGTGGGATTGTGGACCCTAGAATACCCCCAAAATATTGGTGATAGTGGCCCCCAGAAAAGAATAGTCCCCAAATCATTGGCGTCAGTGGGACAGTGGACCCCAGGGCAGAATAGCCCCCAAATCATTGGTGTTAGTGGAATCGTAGACCCCAGGGGAGAATAGCCCCCAAATCATTGGTGTCAGTGGGATCATAGACCGCAGGGGAGAATAGCCCCCAAATCATTGGTGTCAGTGGCATAGCAAGCCCAAGAAGGAGAATAGCCCCCAGTTCATTGGTGCTGGTGGGATTGTGGGCCCCAGAAGGAGAATAGCCCCCAAATTATTGGTGTCAGTGGGTTTGTGTGTCCCAGAAGGAGAGTAGCCCCAACATAATTGGTCTCGGTGGGATTGTGGGCCCCAGAGAGAGACTGGCCCCCAAAACTTTGGTGTCATTGGGATAGTGGGCCCCAGAGGCAGGATGGACCCCAAATAATTTGTGTTGGTGGGATAGTGGTCCCCAGGGGAGAATAGCCCCAAAATCATCGGTGTCAGTGAGATTGTGTGTCCCAGAGGGAGAGTAGCCCCAACATCATTGGTGTTGGTGGGATTGTGGTCCCCAGAAAGAATCTAGTCCTCAAATGATTTGTGTCGCTGGGATTGTGGGCCCCCAGAAGGAGAGCAAACCCCATATCCTTTGTGCCAGCGGGATCTTGGGCCCCAGAGGGAGAATAGCCCATAAATCATTATCAGTGGGACTGTGGGCTCCAGCAGGAGAATGACACCAAATCATTTGTGTCGGTGGGATTGTGGGCCCCCAAATGTTTTGGAAGCTATGTTCAGCACTCTACCTGCATTCCATAGAGAAGCACAGAGACCCAGCGACATCACCAGACATAAAATAAGATATGTAATGAAAACGGAAAGGTTTTATTTAAAAATGTGATGCGGAGAGGAAGCAGAGAAGGCTAAATTATAAGCAGATTATAATCAGAAAGTGTAACCCAACGATCGGATTTTTGAGCCCCCAAAGAGAAGAACGCAGTGCGTGCTTTCTGTGCTTCCCCGGTAGTCATTGCGCACCTCTGTGGTTCCTGTTGCGTTAAAAGCTGTTATAACTTCCCCCCCCCCCCCAACACACAGAAGAATTAATGGTGCGCTGGGGGCGGTGGATGGGATTACACCTTACTCCCGTGTCTCTCTTCCTTCCTTCTCCTCATTAGTTCTCCTTCCTGACGTGGCTTTTGATCCGTCTCTCCAGATTTGCTGCAAGACGCTCGGCTGCGGATAATTAGAGCTGCCACTTTGATGCCGGAGCTGACACGACGCCTGCCCGGAGCTGTCACATGCTCGTTCGAAACACCTGTGCCGGAGCCACGTATTAACCCGCGCCGCGGAGAACCATGGATAGGCAGAGCGCATAGTTCACCCGAACAAGTGCTGCTTCACCGCATCCGCGTTCGTGGTGTGGGCGCAACGTTCGGCAGAAAGCTAGCAATCCGTATCGGATGTCGGCCGACCAGAACGCAGGAGGTCTCTTGTGCCTTGACTGAGGCAGGAGTATGAAAGGAGAATTGATATTTATTATAGATCTTATTGATCACTGCGCATTCGACCGTCCTTAACAAGCGCCTGCTAAAATTAGTGGAGCGAGTCTTCTGGGAAGGCGTCCACAAGGTTTAGGAGTGTGTCTATGGGAATGTTGGATATTTGTCAGGTCGGGTACTGATGTTGCAGGAGAAGGCCCAAATGTGTTCTATCGGGTTGAGGTCAGGACTCTGTGCAGGCCAGTCAAGTTCCTCATCCATGTCTTTATGGACCTTGCTTTGTGCACTGGT